CCCCCCCCCCCCCCAAACCCCAACCCCAACCCCAACCTCAATAACTCCTACGATTTAATTAGAAGCGCTTGTGCACGAAGATCATTGAGAGCCGTATTATTTCGGCCAAATTTAAGATTTTTGATTTTATAATGTTTCTCAAATTTTACCTTTATGAATTGTCTTTTCGGTAATAATGATATTATGGGTACCCTTGGGTTAAGCCATTTATTAAGTATACATGCCTACATTTATCTCAAACCTTATTTATTAATTTGCGGGTTGAGCCGAAACAATCGCATTCGGAAATTATTCTCGCAACATTATATATTTATATTATGTATAACTTTATATATGTATATATGTATATATGTATATATGCATAATTGTATGTGTGCGTATATATATATATATATATATATGCATTGCGTAGTGGAAGATCCATCTGACGATTTTCAACGTTTGCGGGATTATGTTGATGCGACAAATTGCAGTACATTGTCTAGTTATGCAAAGTATAATCTTAGAGAAGGTTTCAATAAACTAATGGCGTCGGAAGCAAGAGAAAAATTTAAAATAAATAAGGTAAATTTTAAATAAATAAGGTTTTTCTGATGTATTCTTTTACCGAACGTTAAAAGAGCATTTGTTGGTATTGTCTAATAAATATTGTTAATGCCCAGAAACAAGCTCGGAGAGTTTATGAAATTTTACGATTGAGAGCAACAGACTTGTCCAACGATTTTGAATATCGCGATTACCGACTGGATGTGAAAAAGAGACTTAACATACCATATAAACGAGAACAAAATGACTTGAAAAAATTGGAAGCAGCTTTAAAAACCAATGATAAACGTCCAGGAGTTAGTCTTCCTATACAAGAGCAGCGTATGCAGATTCTCGATAAGGAATATCGTGCTTTAGAAGAGGAATATAAAAAAGTCATTAAAAGGTTGGATAAGACATCCGATTGATATTGCTAGTCGGTTGGAGGGATATAAAAAAAAAAAAGAAAGAAAAGCGCGCTCAAAGCGCGTCGTCTATTTTTCTATTATTTAGTTATTAATGTATTTTAGTTTACTTTTACGTCTAATTTCTATAAATTCCCATTCAACGCGAGGAATGAAATGCTTTCGTTTATCGTTCCTTCTTTTAAAAAAATGCATGCGTCCGCATTATTTTACCAAATAAAAAATCGTTGTTCTTTTTTACTCGTAATAAGAACGCGTTGCGTTAAAAAAAAATAAAAATAATAAATAAATAAATAAATGAAAAAAAAGACCAAAAACAAAACAAAAACAAAAAAAAAAATAACAAAAAAGATAGTGAAAAGAACAAACACGGTTCACGCAGCGACAATTGTGCTGGTCATTCGATGAGTCTTTTGGTGATCATATTTTTAAAAAATAATTATTAATTACATGTTATTGCGATTCAAAAATGTAAATACTCACTGTATTCCATAAATCGAAATAAAAAGTATTAAGCATTTAGAAAGCGTCTCCCTGAAAATCTTAACATTAATAATAAGAATTTGCAATTTACATATTATAATTATACTTCATAATTACAATAAGCTCGCCGAATAAATAATTTGTCGAACAGGAAGGTCGTGAGGGAAGTTAAATATTTTCAACGGGCCAAGTTAATTGTACATATTGTACATAAATCTAAAGACGCAAGTAAATCGAACGGCTTGCGAAATTTCAGAACTATTTGTAAGCAGGTATATTTCAAAGAAATAGAATAACAGTAGAGCGGAGCCTTATCGTTGTGATCGGGAAATAATGGGTCCGCGGGGTCAGCCACAAGTGAGGAAAAATACCCGAGGCTCCATATACCTACGTGTGTACGTAAAGCAATGGAGAGACAATGCCGGCCCCGTTGGTCGGATCATGGTGGGCGGGCGTGGGGGGGACCGGGGGGGGGGGGGGGGGGGGGGGGGGAGGGGGATAGGGTATTAATATCGTCAACCGTCAAATAAGTTGAAAAGACGCAGTTCTCCACCCATGCACCTTCCCGTAATTACGGCCGAACGTAACAATTGGTATTAGCAATTGTAGTAGCCCAAAGTGTCAATCCGGTCGGCGAGTGCTCTCGCGTTTCCTCGCTTGTACGCCCGTCCGCACCTGCATGGGCCAGGTATAAGGCATAAGGGACCCCACGGTGGCGACGGTGACGATGACGGCGGTGGCGGAGACGGCGACGGCGACGGCGACGGCGGACAGGAAAAACAAGTGCGCCTGCGGCTAATGACGTGAGCTTGGGAAATTTCTTTTCACTGGGCTCGGCAGCGCACAATTACACCACGACGCAGCCCATTCGAAGAAATGGCCTAAGAGGCTACGAGTGCGCGCGGGAAAGCTCGCGCTGGCTAACGCTCTCTTTTCTCTCTCTCTCTCTCTCTCTCTCTATCTTCTTCTCCTTATCCTCCTCCTCTTCCACCCATCGACCTCCGACCCTGTCGCTCTCTCGCTCTCTATCTCTCTCTCTCTCTCTCTCTCGGCACGCTTGGTCCTAGGGTTTCTCAGAAGGTCGACACGAAGGACCGCGGAGCGGAATATGACGGTGAGCGGCAGGTATTATAACGGCGCGCATCGACATTTACACGTGGGATTCGCGAAATTTTGACTGACCGTATAAGGCGATCGGTGGGGGCGAGAGGGACAGGTGAAGCCTCTCTCTTTCTCTCTCTCTCTCTCTCTCTCTCTCTCTCTCTGGTAGAGGGAAAGCTTCGTGGTAGCACCAATGAGATGGTAGCGCGCGACTTTTGTCGCTTAGTCCTTTCCCACTCGGCAGCGCATCGCTAATACGCAAAAAGGACGTAAGCACCGAGACCGAACTGTACCTCGGCCTTTTCTTTAAAGTTAACAATTAGAGGATTAACGCTGGCGGGGACCTCGTATTCTAGGTTCATACCTGCAGGTAATTAATCTTATTAATGTGTAGTCGTACGACTCTTAACCTACACGTACGGGTTTTTAATTGGAATTGTGAAAAGTTTTTGGAGGGAACTGCTACATATCACCTTTGTTATTTATTCTACGTACAATCGTTCCTCTATTTTTCTCTACATTTACCTTCAATTGCTTCAACTGCTTCGATATATTTAAATAAATAAATAAATATATATATATATTTATATTTATATATATATATACATATTTATATAAATTAGTTTGATGAATATAAAAATTTTTTAAAATATATTTTCAAATGCACACTTTCACTCGCTACACTTTTATTGCACTATAATTTTACTTTACTGCGCACAATAAAGCTATTCTTTTTTCCTTCTAATTACTTAAAAACAGAAAAAACAACAAAAACAAACGAACGAACGAACAAAAATAAAAAATGCCAAATTACCATCGATTTGACAATAAAAATTACATTCGCCTTCGATTATTATTGCAACATTCCGACGCTCGATGTATTTATCAATCAACTATGACGAAACATATCAAATAATTCATTCGAGGAGATAATATTGTAATAAATATTTTGAATAACGCTACCGTACAATTCATGTAGAAAAGAAAGAGTGACCTTCCGTAAGTTGTTCCTTCCTAAATCGACAATTGGGCCTGCCAGTGATAACGCTTAGTATTTCATTACTTTCATTGTCTGTAAAAATATAAAAATAATATTCTTGGACAAACTTCATTTTATTATTTAGATTGTTTATAGTAATTATTTTCAGTCTTTGTGAACGCTTGAGCACTTGCATAGGCACTTGGAGAATAAGTTGAATTGGAATAATCGAAAATTCGGATTAATCGTTTATTTAAGCCATTAATGCTTAGTCGAGCTCATTGGATCAAACGATATTAATATATTAATATTATATTATATTATATATTATATAAATATAAATATAAATAAATATAAATAAAATATATTATATAATATAAAATATATTAATAACAATATGAGAATATGAAAAAAAAAAAAAAAATAATATATATCGCAAGATAATCACGGACGCAGAGATTATTATAACGACGACAACAATTATTGCTGTTATTATTTATTTATTTATTTATTATAATTGTTATAATTGTTATTGTTATTGTCATTATTTCGGCCTTATCGAGTATGTTAATATATCCTGTAGTGACTTATACAATAGCATTCTAATCGCTGAAATTGAATAAAAATTGCACATAATAATAGTGCATATAACAATTATTATTGAAATTCGATTTTCTCAATAATAATATTAATGTAACTCTGTATTACGCGTATTTAGAAAGGAGAACGCTAAGGTAGAAATTAACGTGTGATATTAATTAGAGATTGGAAGATACGTATTTACGAAAATACCATACAACCATAGCAGCAGCGTCGGTACTGATATATGTTATTACTATATCTTATAGTATTTCATGGGATAGCGTTCTTTTGCTTTAATGTAACATTCATGGCATAATAATAACCATAACGACATTTCATTATATTATAAATTACAATAAGAATAATGATTAAGCGATTTCAGGTATTCAAATTTTAATTAAGGATTAACAAAAAATAAAATTATCATTCTAATTATTATGTATGTTATTTTAATATTCGAGGAAAAGGACTATAATCTGTAAGACACGTTACGAGGGTTATGAAAGTCATACGGTATTTTCACAAAATATTTTCAATTTACATACGCAACCTAATTTGTACCTCATAGTTTTCTTTGTTTTATGTTTTTTCTTTTTTTTTGTTGTTGTTTTGCCATACATGCATTTGCAATTACTATTTTTAATACTTGAATTAATATTCTCGTTCAAAGACTTGAATCGGAGTTGACGAAAATTTACGTGCATATTATTATTATTATTTTTCTTCTAATGGGTAAAATGATCAACGGGAGTATTGGTTGGATAGTGTATTTTCTTCTATGCGTCACAAAGTGGAGGGGAAACACAAAAACAAAAACAAAAAAAAAAAACAAAATAACAAACAAAAAAACTTTAAAATTAATCGCTGACCAATAATAAGCCAAGATCCTCTATAAGAACAAAACAAATTTGCAAAGCAAACCTCTTCCCATTAGAAGAAAAAAATTATACTTCGAACACTGAATTTCTCGGTAGTAATAAACGGTCTAATCATTTAATGACCGAACTACATCTTCCGCTTAATGCACTTGAGAATAAATATTCGTAAAAATTCCGCTTAATCGTCACATTTGATTATCCGATAATTCAGTTGCAGATACTTCTTATATATTATGATAAATATTGTAATATAAAAATTTCAAGCTGATTCCAAACTGCTTTGCTCCTCCATTATACAAGAAGTTTACATAATCAATTACTTTACGGCGCCTACAACGTTTCGTTATATGTTGGCAAAGTAATACGATCGATCGTATTTTTATAATTATAATATTTTGTTCAACGTTTGGCAAATTCTGCCGTCGCTCCAGGATTTTCATAAGCCGAAGAATTAGCTGCTGGTAAAATTTTATCCTTTTCTTTCTTTCTTTCTTTCTTTCTTTCTTTCTTTATTTTTTTGTTTTCGTTTTTGTTTTTTTTTTTTGTTTTTTTTTTGTTTTTCTCTTTCTTCATGAACAATTCATTAGCCGAGGGAGAGATAAAATGCGAAAGGATAATAATTCGCGGGCTCGAGCTCGGGAAATGGGCCTGTAAAAAAGAATTCTCAAAGGAAAATCGAGGAACGCTTTAGCTCGTCTAGTGTCGTGATTGTACGGGCCTATCGGCTATTCTCTCTCCCACCTTGGCAAGACCCATTTGCCCTCATGGTTTTCGCGCCCACGTACATCGGACCCAACGGTGACGCTCGGCCATAAAGTCGGTCGTCGGAAATCCGCGCGCTAAACAATCGCCACCAATAAACGTCGACGTCATAAACGAATAGAGCGAGAAGAGGTAGTTCCGCGTAGCGGCCCACAGTCTTGGGGCTAAGGGGTGCGTCCTTGGCTACGCGATAGTCCTCGGCCAATGGCAGGGCCCCGGTTACACGTCACGAGCGCGGTTGGCGTTAGCGATGGGGCGGGGGGAAGGAAAAAGCTCTACTTGGACGCGTCTCATAGGACTCTCATAGGTCGAGCCATAGCGATCGTTGCGCAGGACACGAGTGGGGTGGGGGGAGGACCCGCAAATTTAAGGAACCCTCGTCCTCGCGAAGGTTCACTCGACTTCCGATACCGGACCCCTCAGCACCTCTTCGCCTCTCAAGTCTCCTTTTTGCGCTCGTAGTACGCACAGTTTCCCGATACCGGTTCCTTCTGTATTTGTTGAGAGAGACCAAGTGTGAGAGTAGCGGCCCGCTCAACATGATGGATAACACCGAAGTGCTTGACTTCAGCCTACGAAAGAGCATCGACAGCGAGGAGGAGCGGCAGCAGCAGCAGCAACAGCAGCAACAACAACAACAACAACAACAACATTGCTCTACCGAGAACCTTCTCGTGGAAGACCTCGTCAAGGACCAGCAGCAGCAGCAGCAGCAGCAGCAGCAGCAGCAGGAGCAACAGCTCCAACCGCCTCAGCAACCACAGCAGCGTATCGGCAAGCGGCTACAACGCATGCGACCCGCTGACGAGAAACTGAGGGCGATCGAGCGGATACGCTCCGGGGAGAGCAAAGCGTCGGTCGCGCGAGACATCAACGTACCCGAGTCGACGATAAGGGGCTGGTGCAAGTCCGAGACCGCTATAAGACGCTGCCTGCAAATGAAGTCGCCGTACGATAGTGAGGCTTACTCACCAGCATCCAGTAATGGTTCGGTCACCGAGACCACCAGTCACGTTGTCGACATGCCTGGTTCGTATATTATCGATGCTTCTTTGGCAATTTCGTGAAATCGCACTTCAATTAACTTTTCCATTATTGATTTATGACGACGCGCTCAACTTCTTCATTCCTTGTGCATGTTCCGAGTGGCCCGGCCAACCTTTACTTTCAATACTCTATTGCGTTGATTTGGGAAGAGTTTGAAGCTTATCCCTGCTTTCACAATTATTAATGTCTGATTCACGAAATTGCGATCGTTTAAGCTGATGGGCGTTTCATTGTCGTTTTAAAAGTTTTTTCTTTTTGTTTTTCTTTTTGTTTTTATTTTTATTTTTTTTTTTTTTTTTTAATATGTCGATGTTTTTGTCGAGTTTATATGGATCGCGAGACGTTTAAAGAAAATCAAATGAAAATAATAAAAAATGAAAAGTAAAAGAAAGAAAAAACAAAGAAATCGGTATTGCGAGGCAAGTGAAATGTTTTGTCGCTTGTGCTGGGAGATTATTTGGAGATCGATAGAATTGAAGGAAACGCCCTTAGACCGTGTCCAATGATCGCAGTCGACAACGTCAACGGTAGCGCGATAATTTTTCAATGTTCTTTTGCTTGTGTGTTTGGTATTGGATCAGGTCTGGTGGGAAACTCGAGCGACGAGGAGAACAACCCTCAACGAGAGCAGAGAAAGTCCGCGAAGAAGCAAAAGCTCGAGGCTGGCCGCGCCGATGCAACCCACGCAGCACCGAACGCCGTGTTCCAAGAGCACCTGCACAACATGACCAGCAGCGACCCAAAGACCTCCTCGGAATTGCTATGGAACTGGTTGATGTTCAACCAGCGGCTCCTTAATCAGCAGCTCATGCCGCTGATGCCGAGCGGCCAAATGACCGATTACAAGGATACGGGGGCGGCTGCCGCGGCCATGGCTGCGGCCGTGACGGCTGCAGGAGCGACAGCTCCGGGAACGGGAACGGGAGCGGGAGCGGCGGGGGTGGGGATGCCGTTACCGATGCCGCTGATCGAGCAGGGTCCCGATTCCGAGAAACCGAGGACGGCGGACGAGGCGATCGCGCACGGTGAGAAGTTCCTAAAGTGGCTCGAGGACTGCAACGATCCATCGGTCACCAGATTCAAGGTCATGCAGCTTAAGCAGCTACTCAGTAATCTGAAGGCATCGCGAAAATAATGAAGGAGACGACGACGACGCCGCCGACTTTTCATTCCTATTTGCCCCGATAAGCCCATTCCCCTGTTAACGATATTCATTGTGTGATATACTCCATGTGATAGAGACAATCGAATGCTACGAGTAGCGATGAATATTTATTAACGCTTTAACGCTTTCATTTTTTGTGTATGCGCGCGCGCGCGTGTGTGCGCGTGCGTGCGTGTGTGTGTGTGTATATATATATATATAGATTTTCTGTACTATAGCGTGCTTTATTAAGGGGTTTCTTTCTTTCTTTTTTTTGGAAACACTATTATTATTATTATTATTATTATTATCATTATCATTATTACCGTTATTACCGTTATAACTATTATGCTTACTATCATCATCATTATTATTATTATTATTATTATTATTATTATTATTATTATTATTATTATTATTATTGGTATCGTAATATTAATATTTAACGACTTTCAAACTGTGATGGAGCTTCGTGCTTAGAAAGGGAATTGCAATTTACTTTACATAGTGGCAATATGCAAATACCGTTTATTTATCGAAATTATTTACAATTTCACGAATAACACATAAATTCATAAGTCTTAACAAATTTAATTCTTTTTTTTTTTTTTTTTTTTTTTTTTTTTTTTTTATTGTTTTAAATGTTTTTATTCCTGATTTACATTTAAACTTAAGATTGTATTGTCTGCGATTTAACCGCTATATGTTTTTAAATACATATAGAACAAATTGCGCGGCACCAAATCGTATTTTATTTATTGTATTACGGTGGAAAAACAATTGATATTTGACGGTGCTCGGTACAGACGGTACAGATCATTCATTTGCTATTTATTATACAAATGTAAAAATCTATTCGGCCTAGTTACGATTGTAAATAAATTTCCTTTTTTACTTCTCGACTCCGTTCTTCAAAATATTGACATCTATTGTACTAGTAATTCTAGTGTCTGTACAAATAGTACGTTTTTAATGTACATGTTAATTTGGCAAATTAATATCTGTAATATAAAAATACAATATATACTTTTAGCACTCTCTCTCTCTCTCCTTATCTCTGATTAACATTTTTGTACGGTGATATTTATTTGTTTTTTTTTGTTTTTTTTTTCATTTATTTATTTTGTTTTTATTCTTTCATACGACTTTTCTAAATATAAGAGCGACTTAGCTGCGCATACGTTCGTTAAACAAATGTGTATATATTATTGTTAGCGCGTAGGTATTAGATTATCAATTTAATAAGGAACAGTTAAATACGAAAGATTACGATTATAATGTATTTCATCGTGATTATCGTTTTAAGCAACAAATAAAAAAAAAAAATAATAATAATAAAAAAAAGAATAAAAACCAGTTGGCCAGTGTTGATAAACACTACGGGCAATAAATGCAGTATTATGTTGAATATAATTTTAAGTTTACTTTTCTTTTAGATTTATTAGAGATCTTAAATTATACTTAAAATCACTTGTATTATATACGCGGTAGGAAACTTTATTTATTTTTATTTTTTCCCCCACCGAAATAACAACGTACAGTGTTTAAATAATTTCGAAGCGATAATTCTATTACTCATTTTTTTATTTTCAAATGACAACAATCAATAGTTACATAATTATTGTAATAACACCATTATTCCAATAAATTTCCCATTAATAACATTAATTTTGCTTTTTCTTTGTTTGTCAACCAGTCACCTATCCTCGGCATTATACTTAATCGGACATATATATTATAAGTATCTTTCATTTATCTCTATAATATGAAATATTATTTTTATCTATCTTTGGAGCTATTATTATAGTATATTCAGACTTGTAAAAATGTCTCGGTTTCGCGACAAAAGGGTATATTATACCTATTACATTTCATGCGAATGTGCATTACCACTAAAGATAAATATATGAAAGATTTTTGATAATTATATATATATATATATTTCCTTAAAACGATAAAAGCCATGCCCGCCCCTCTTATTCTAATCTTACTGGTAATTGTAATTTATGACACTAGTGACATTTATGTTACAATAGAGAATAGTCGTTATTTTCATAAATTTTGCCGAACAATATTATTAGATTCTTAGATTGCATTTCGTTTTCATATTTATTATATGCTTTACTTTAACAATTAAATACAATTTATTTATTTTTTTTTTTTTAGCACTTTTTAGCGTACACGAATGAAGTAAGTTAAATTTCATCTGGAATCACAAGTGTTGGGTGAGCGCGCGACTAAAGATTGACGAAAAGTTTAAAAAGCTTTTATAGTAATTCGATACCTTAACTATATTTTCGCTATAATTTCACATTAGAATTCTGTCATTTTATTAATTATTATTATTATTATTATTTTTAATTAGCTTGAAAGAGAAAAATAAAAGACATTTAATTTGGTGACTTGTAATATTATGAAATAAGATACTTATACGCCGTTACTAAACTAATGCAAGAATCTGTCGTTGTCATGGCAAGTCCTAGCCGTTAATCAATATTTTATGTTTATACATTGATTGTCCGACAATGTGCATTTGCCTTGGTCCAGCACGATCTGGTAAAACTCTTCTTTTAAAGCATCTCTGCGGTGAGATTATAGACGAAGCCAATTCAACCGTCCCAACAAATGGTTTGAATATTTATAATGTTCGCAATGCAGATGGTCGTTTTGAATTGGTAGTACGAGAAATTGGTGGTAGTATGGTAGCTATTTGGAAGCATCACTTGGACAGGGTACGTTCGTTGGCATATTCTATGTCATATTTTTAACTTGATGATTTTATTAAAAATTAGTATAAAGCTTCGTTGATTATTAGTAGATTCGGAAGAAACGTTGTCCGTATGTTTGCTGAAAGCCAAAGTCATTCATTCTTCATAAAGACATTTGATTTTTTTTTTTTTTTTTTTTTTTTTTTTTTTTTTTTCATGTACATCGTGTGTATTTATCGGCAATTCCTTATTTTGTAAATAAATCTAATTAATGACAAATGTTTACACAAAAACAAATTTCAATTTCATGGTCAAAATATTTTATTTTACCTTTGTATAATTTAATAAGAACAATAAAATATGGTATCATTAATGATTTGACTATTAAAATATTTTAGAGCCTTGAAACAATAACAAAGAAAAAAAAAAAAAAAAAAAAAAAAAAAAAAAAAAGAAAAGTAAGAAAAAAAAAATGAATAATAAATTCTCGTATTGTTTCATAATATTTTATCTCCTATAATTTATTCGATTGTGTTTCATTCCAATGTTATCATTATAAAATCGATAATAATTTTGAATTTTTATTTTCTAGATTTACAAAGTCATGTATGTAATAGACACTAGTAACTTATGTCAAATAAGTGCTGCTGGAATTTTACTTTATTCGCTGCTAGTGGAGCCAAAACTTAAGCGAGCGAAGTTCGCTTTAATTTTAACAAAGATGGATTTATCTTATCGGCAAATGAGAAACGAGGCATTGTTGATGCTACATTTTTCTCGACTTCAAAGGGAAGTCCGACAAGAGATAACAGTCATCGAAACCAGTGGAGTTACGGGACAAGGGATTGACAAACTTAGGGAGTGGATTTTTAATCCAATAACTTTAGCAAATGCGAGTCCTCGATAAATTGAAAGCTTACCAATATAAAATATTATTAATGTTTTTGATAATCTCTATTTCCATGTAAATCATTCATTTCGTCTAATATATACGCAATAAAATTAAAAAATCTCCTGCTATGAGATCTTATAATTTACATTGACCTTTACAAAGATATAAATGTTGCTTTGTTCTACATAGTTTATATGTTAATTCTTAATAGTTTTAAATCATGTTTTAGGATGAATTAATTCTAATTAACACATACCATGACGTTACGTGTAGCTCTTACATATTTACATATCTTATGAGAACTTAGATGCGAGGACTGCACTCAATGATTATTGTATGTAATTGTGCTTAGGCACTCGAATTAAATAAATATCCTCGTTATATATTTTACCACAATGTTATACAATTCTTGAAAAATTAATAAAAATATTAAAAAATTGCAATTTAATGTATCCTTGTAAGATCCTCAACGATCTTCACCAAATCGTCGACGGTTGCTTCTTTCTTCATTCCACTACCGTCATCAATCTGAAATGCCAATGAATATTTTAGCTGCGCTTATATCTCACCACCTAGTGACATAAAATAATTGTTACATAACGCATGAAAAGTGACTTACAACCAAACCCATCACAACTTCTGCCATCTTCTCATGATTTAAATCCAAAAAGCTTTCAATTAAATCTCCATCGATGAATCCCTCGCATTGTTCAATTTTCAGATCTGTATTAAAACTTCTCCAAAAATTGTGTTCAACTTTACCGACACTTTTTATAACGGACGTTAGCCTATCTTCTAAATTACGAAGGAATTCATAAAAGGTCGATGGGATCTGCGTAACTAAACCAATAGCACCGCTCACTGTTCCAAAAAGAACACAGCCATGGGTTGGTGTACTCGATTCACCTAAGTGTTGCATAACTAAGGATCCGTGTCTAAAAACATTGACCATATCACCTAAATGAAATTGTCCAACCTCTTGCATTTGTTGCCTCTCTTCTTCCGAAGTAGCAGCGCTGTATCGGAAGTTAATTATTCAATAAAGAAAAATGACTTACGATAATTATATCATAAAAATATTTTCTGAGAGTACCTACCTATCCTTTTGACAAACAAAAAGATTAAAGCAATTTTCAGCACCCAAGAACGTGTCGTCGTCTAAGATTTCTATGGCAATCATCCAATTGGGATTGTAATCCCTGGCAATTTCTTCAAAACTACCTTCCATAGTTTTGTATTGTAGTAAGGTTACAGATCTCATCAAGTCACCCACGAGTACAAAGTCACCTTTTGTCTTTAAATATAAGGCTATTATATTATTAAAATGACTGCATTCTAATCTCAACTCCTTTTCCGCAGTCCACTCAAACAATCTCACCGTACTATTAATACTAGCTAAAAGTTTACCATTAAATTCAACCAAAGAGTAACACGAGCCTTTTATTTCTTTTTCCGCAACCTGGAAGATAATTATTATAATTATTCCATTAGCTTAATATACTTCTTCCTGTATGTCTCTTCTGACTGGGACATAAAATTAACATACTTGCGACAATTTCCCATCGTTCCAGTGGTATAATAAAATTCTGCCCATTTTAGGCTCTGTGTCATCAGGATTAAACAGCGCGGTACCAACGATGAAATATGGCGTCGGATCCTCACCTAATTTCGTTGATATTAAAGACATTGCATATTCGGTATGCATTAAGGTATGTGCATGAAGTACTTCGAAGGTATGCTGATCAACAATTAGTAAATTGTGTACTTCAACTTCTTGACCAACGTCGCTTGCTGTATTGGTTGGCTTATTATGGGTGGCAATATGGCTACTATTTGATACGGATGCAGCTTGCGTCGAGGCTGAGGGTCTAACGATGTTAACGCCATTACTTTCTTGTATATCAACACGCATTGTAATTACTCCAAAGGTTTGCGTAGCCTCTTGATATGCGATCCTCCTTGGCGATTCGCCCAAGGGTACCGTTCTAATGTGAAGCTTTTGTATTTCATCTATAGTTCCGATCGTAACTGTAATATAAAGTAATTTAGCATGCATTATATTTTATAAATATCAAAGAAATAAACATTTAACAGTTTGGCGCAGTCGATTGGAGCAGGCAAACTATTTAAGATTAACAAACTACTTTTGCCCAACAGTAGTTAGACTTTTTATTTTCTTACCAATACTGTCCGTTGCAAGAGCTAAACTGTCTGAATACGATTCCGCGTTTAAGGAACACATGTGATTAACTTCTTTTAAATTTACATTACTGAAAACGAGTTTGTAATTGGAACTATAAATAACCGTTGGCCTATCTGAACAGGCAAAAACATTTGTAGTCGAAAGGGATCTGAACGTTCTTAAAACCGTTGGTTGTGTACCAAGAGTAACTTTCTTTTTATCTGCAAGCATCCCATTTTGCTTATTTAATGTGAAATAATACATGCTTCCATCGCCGAGTGCGCACAACAAGTACGTGTTATCCTCGAAGCATGTCATTAATATTGATCTGGGTATTATTTCACCACCGAGTAATTCTTTTGTTATCTCTTCGAGTTTTGGTAATGTTAATATACGAACAGATATGTCTGTCCATAAGCCAACGGCAACTAATTTTGCCTCACTGTTCCCATCCAAAGGAGAAATGTCTAAACACGCGACTTCGTGTTGAAGGGTAGTGAAACCTTTTGAAACTATTTGATTGCAATTAATTTCCAAATAAAATAAATCATTTCCAGTCGCACAGAGTACTTGTGTGCCGTTACACGCAACTACACTGATGGTTCTTTTATTTTCCGGTTCCCACTCTGACATAACCGATTTACTTTCATTGGAAATAAGTCGTGCGGAAATCGGTGTTATTTGAATGATGACATCATTGGTGACATTGCCCGTGTGAAAAGTCTGCTCGTCCGCAACGAATCCTGGTATATCCGTTTCTTCAACTTCTTCTCCATTTAACATTAAAATTCTAGTCTGGCCGACAAATGACAAAACTAAAGTATTATCAAAATTACCACCTCCAACCTTTAATGCCCACATTCCTTTAATTCCAGGCAAATCGATGCTCGCATGCTCTTGAATTCCAATACCGTTCCTAATGATTCTTAACGAACCTTCTTTAAAAGCTCCAGAGCACGTGACTATTTGCCCTTGTCCTTGCCTTTCAAGATCCACAACCGCCATATCCACTATGGGAGCAAGATTTGTGAAAGTTTCCATGGGAACGCAATAGGATCCATTTTCATCTGCTTTAGTAATTAATTTGATTAATTGTGAATCACCTAAGCGACTGCCAATGAATATTACCCCATTATCCAGGTATGTTATGCATTCTGGGATACTGACTTCTCCAAGTAATTCTACTTTCAAATCTTTGACAACCAAAGTTCCATCCGCTTTCTTGTCTTGCTCCAAAAATAACATAAACAGATGCCCCGCCATATCTCCCAATAGATAGCGAAGTCCTTGATTGTCAACTTTGGCATAACAGGTAATTGTGCTTTGTTTAATAATTGGTGGCACAACCGTTACATAAGTGGTACCATCATGATACAAAATACTTTCCTGTCCTATAATAATAGCTCCGCATATCGGAGAAGGGACTGGAATAACCATCATGGCTTCGCGCTCCACATTATCCTGCCTCCAAGGAATTTTAACAAATTCTTTATCTCTCAGTGAGATTTCATGAGTCTTTACATGCCTTCCATTTATATCTTGATGGATTAAAATTAACGTTGGATTTATACATCCATGCAGAAAATTGACATCTTGGACCTAGGAATAAATAAAAAATTGTTAAAAATAAAGGGGGCAAGTAATTACATAATAAATTGATAAATATTAATATTTATATGATTTTTAAAAATTACATTTTGCTCATCCATACGTATCGAAGATGCCTTTAATTCTGGATTATCCTTATCGAGTGGGATAATTTTGAATAAGCCATCATATAATCGCAAACCTATTACTCTAGCTTTTGGATCTATTACCGCTTTGATTCCAGTTTCCGATGCTTTACCAATCCTATCGGCCACATTACCGTGAGCTTTTGTGATTATTTCAATATCTTCTCTTTCGCCAATGCATTCCAAAATCATAGCATTATATCGCGTCGTTAATAAAAAGAGAAGATCCTTTTTCTCATGCTATAAAATTCATATACCATTTAATACATGTGTCTATGGTTAATTGATATTACCGAACAATTAAATTATTCATCAGAAACTAACTTGTGGTCTGAAAAATTTGACTACTGCGATTTTCCCATAAATACCAACTTCTTTGAGTGGCCGAAGACCTTCAGGCGTTACAAGATAAATTTCGAGTCTCATATTCTTTGCCAGAATCAAATTTAAGTCCGTGGCTGATGTAAAGTTACCTAGGTGCCCATATAATGTAAAATATGATTTAAATTGAAAATACCATGGTACTTTAGTACTTTCTTAAAATAGTGAATAGGTTAACTTACCGGTCACGCATGCCGAAACTGCCGTTGGCTTATGAGCCGTTACTACATAATGATGTGCCATTGTTTTCATTATATTATTTCTCAGTAATAATAAAATATCATAGAAAAACTCAAATCTCTTAATTAATCGCTCGAAATCCACAAAATTATCGAAACACCGACTTTTGTATTCGTCCTATTTTTTGTTCCGTTCAAACCGAAGTTAACGGCGGTTTCACAACTCGCAATTAAAATTTATCACATTGAATATCTATTGTGATTCGTAATGCAGCAAAACTTATTGTCTGAACATGGCGACTATCGAATAATTATTATTTGTCTCGATATCTAATAATCGACATGAAATGCCAATTGTTATTATTAACTTGCGAAAGCTCCGCTACATCGAATCCCTCATTCTAATTTTATTTTTAATTTTCAATCCAAATAATCAATCCAATTCACATTTACTATAATTTATAATAAATATTGGGTAATTTTTTTACTGCGAAGTTATTACGAAAACGTTTGGATGATTGTACTCCTGTTCTATATATTTAAATATTTAGGTAAAGGTTACGTTACGTGAGATAAGAGTAGATGTAACGGAAACGTCTTTTCTAATTTTTAATAAATACGGCTGTGATCCATATTCCTAACAATATACTTTACATCTTCTTCGATTAAAATTTGCCAAAAATACTCGATTTTTCAAGGAAAAATAGCTTTAAGATACGCGATGAGTGTAGAAAATATATCAATTTTAGTTAAACAATTTTCTAATTATATACAGCATGATTGTAGAGGAGCCGAGGTAACTTTTATATTTTCTTTAATAATGTAAAAATAGAATAGAGTAATAATTTTATTTATCTTTATAGATATTTACATATGGAATTGCTTGCACTGGCTTATTAACTGCATTCTATAAAGTAAGACCGGTATGTAATTTAATTGAAATATATAGTACAATAATTTTCTATTATTTTCATAATTGTGTAATCAACATTGAAAAATTGGATTAAAATGTTATTTTTAACCATTTTAATGAAGTTCAGTAATTTATTCGTTATATTTATTGTAGTTTTCTAGATTTACTAAACCAAACGATGTGCCTAAACATTTTTTCACAAAAAAAGTTTTATTAGAAGGTACGGTAAAAAATGTTGAATTTGACGGAGTATCATATCTTTTAGTAGATCATAAGCCATTGATTCCTTTACCAAGGTTAAATTCAAATTATTTACCCGTTAAAATAGCAGGAGTCAACGTAACTAGCAATGGTTTGTAGAATCTGTGTAGACACATACGCTCGCAAGCACACACACGCGCACACACGCATGCTTAAGATTTAATCACAGAACGTTGCGTATTAAATACATGTTCTAAATTTTTCATATTTTATTATAAATGTAGGCATTAATTGGCTGCAAACAATTATTAAAGGGCAGAAAATTACATTTATACCAATTTCTACAGATAGCAAATTTCTAACATGTATAGTAAATGTTCTTGAAAACAATAAGGTAATCCAAAGTTAATCAGTCATAAATATTTCGTTGTCAAATAAAATTTTATTCTTTTATATTTAGGAACCTCTATCCGCGGGAAAAGAGTTAGTTAAAATAGGATTCGGAACTGTTGAAGAATTGCCAAGTAGTTCAGCAGCCGATAAGAATGTAAAAGTTTATGTGAAATCGTTAAAACTTGCCCAAAAATGGGCGGAGCGACAACGAAATGGCATTTGGCAGAAAAAAAATCCTCTAACACTTACATGGAAACTTCGAAATATTTTAGAACAGAAATTAAGGGCAAGGCTTCCAGTGATATTAGTGAAATACTTTAACATTTAAGTTGTATTATAATATATGTACATAACACAGATGTATATATATATATATATATATATATATATATATATATATAAATAAAATTTGATACTAATCCATTTATTTATTATTCAAAATACGAAAGATAATTAAAAATAATTTAAATATAAAATATTATAAAATCTATTAAATTAATTAAAATATAATAAATGACATATAGAATTAAATAAAATGCATATCATTTTAATATAATTTTAAGGCTTTGTTGATTAATTCTAATCTGATGTGTAAGATACATTTAAAATGAAATTTTCAGAATATCCAGACTAGATAGTATTTGAAATGATATTTCAATTATTCAATAAATGCAAATTCAAATAAATATCCGTTATATAATGTAGTTTTCTTGAAAAAAAAAAAAAAAAAAAATCAAAGTAAGAAGTAATTTAAATGTAATAATTCGATTGTTTTGTAGACTACAATAATGAATTTTGGCCTTATCTGTTAATTGACCGACACAGTGATTTATAAGTTAATGATAATTTATTGAAGTGAGATATTGCGTATTGCGAAATTTGAAATAAGTATATTTGTGCTGTGCTCTTGTTATTTATGCACACATGCATTTAAAATCTTTGAACTTAGAGATAATTACTTCATTACAGAATTCTTTCATCAATATTCATATAATAGTAAGTAATTTTAGAGGTAGTAAGCTGAAGAATGTCACATATATACTTATAAATCATCTTTTATTGTTTCACAATGAAATATACAGATGGATGAGATTATGTAACTAACGAGGTCATAGATGAAATATTTCATCTCTTTCTTTCACAATTTTCTCAATCAAACAGCGGCAGTAACAATTTAATGTCATCAAACCTTTGTAAATTTTTTTCTTTTGTTTTTTTGTCTTTTTGTTTTTTTTAACCGATTTAGGCATCATTAAAGTAAATTTGTCGCCCATCAATGTCAGATTAATTAATTGCGTGTATTTTATATATGAGAAGTGCCAGTCTTTGGTTTTGGCATTTTACAAAACTAAAAATAAGTGTTCCATTTAGAATTAACACTGTCGTTTATAAATATATAAAGTATTTTTCAAATGCCTCAGACGCTCTGCAATATATGAGAACAGATAAATAAAAATTATAATCGTAGTATTATTATTATCTTGAAAATTTTATAGCAATCTTAATGTAATAAATATTACGTTTAGCGTGATTTTCGCGTGACAATATCATGATAATGTTTACTAGTTGATTAAGCAATATATTTTGTACAGCTCGAAAGACATGGCAAGTTTCGCTTAACCAGACTAATTTATCAAGGATAATATGGCTGCTATCTTGTCATTTACAAAGAATAAGTTTATTCTCCAATAAAAAGACGTACCTTGGCTATATAATCGATAATTCGTAAATTGCGTAACTCTGTGATAAATGTACAAATGCCTAGTGTTGTTCGATCGGAACTTATTTATCATGTATTTTTTACTTATATTCTGATATCTTTCAACTATAATAATAAGTACAATTAATCAACGTTTTAATATTTTACAGGCTATGATTAATTAACAATATAGATAATTTATAAATTTCTACCAAACATAAAACGAAAATTGTTAACGTGCAATTATACAAGCAGCAATACTCTTTTGTTTTAAAATCTCACGTTATTTTACTTATACTTAGTTGTTTTATTTATACACAATAAATACGTTTGTCGTTTTCACAATAAATTTTAGTTCAATTATTTTCCCTTTGATTCTTCACCAAAATACGCATTAATCGCCCAATTGAATACAAACGCACTCAAATAACTAAGACTTTTGATTAAGCTTGCAGCTTTCATTGGTTATTTAACTATATCCATTGATCCCAGGCTGCACGGTATTTAACCCAAAGAAAATCATAAGCTTTTTTAATATTATTATCGTTCGTTTAAATGAAATAAACATGGACCATACACGGTATAACCGACTGAAAGTTTGCGTTAGAATAAATTTCATACGACACGTAGAAACGCGCGAGCGCAATAACATGTAACGGCAGATTTAAAGTAGAATATATTATCATGAATGTAGTGAAAAAAGAGCGGGGAAAAATTAAAAAAAAAAAAAAAAAACAAAAAAAAATAAAAAATCTTTACAATATTAGCATGCCATTTCGAAATTAGAAAGCGATCGTTATACGACGAGTTAAAGTAATCTCTTCTTTCATTCTCATAACATTGTGCAGCACTGCTCGACGAGTGTGGGAGAGAATTAACGCGAGAAAGCGCCACTTTCCTTGTAATGTCGCCAAACGATCGCTTCATCGCATCTAATTACGAAGGGGGCGACGAGCGAAGACTTTAATCGGCAATCGGCAAAGTGCTCCCTCATCCGCATAGGCTTTGTACAGGCAGCCGGGGATCGACTACTAGGATCGGCGATTGGTCGCCTTTGCGCGTCCGCTTTCTGCCCCCCCCCCCCGGCCCCCCGCCCCCCCCCCCCCCCCCCCAATCCCATCCTAAAACTGCGACTCGAGAATCGCGTCCTGGGAGTCGACGAAGGTCACGCGTTTCGGGCGCGCGACGGTGCCCTCGGGGGGCGACCACTAATGCTATACAGTGATCTCTTGGATCTGGACGCGTTTCTTGACGCTTCCGCTCGTGCTGCTGCCCGTGCTCAACGAGCTCGACGTCCTTTGGGGCGGCCGAGGTGGTATCGCGTGCTCCTTCTTGCAGCTACTCGCACGGCTCAGGCTCTCCGCCTTTGTCCGGTTACGCTCCACTTGCTCCTGCCTGTTTACTTCCATCATCTGCTCCTGAAAGAGATGCATTTTATTTATTAGCGAGTTCCCTATGCGCCTAACGTGCGGTCAACGTCAATACGATAAGCGCCGCTGTCAATACGTTTAGTTTAATCGTTTAAATTTAATTTTTTTTTTTTTTTTTTGAATCGTTTATTGCTCGGTCGTGAAAATAGCAACGATGTAGCCTATCGAGAGAGTCTTTCTCCGGCAATCTATCTCCCTTTGTTCCGATGTTCGGTAAATTCATCGAAGAATAATCGTAAGCGATTGTTTGCCAAGGTTTATCTCGCGCAATTTCAACCTCATTGACAAATAAAAGTCTTGGGGTATCGGCATTTGGTAAATTGACAGCGAACGCGCTCGAGGCTGCTTCGAGAGGAAGATGGATGAATGCATTGGATTGAGTTGTGGGTGGGGTGATAAAGCGTGCGAAAACTCGGGGGATTTTTACATAAAGGAATAAGAGACTAACCTGAATGGAGGAGGGACTCTTGGGGAGGGTAGTGTAGCAGGGTGGCGCCTCGTGCGACGAGGTCGGATTGTCCTGGGGGTTCATCGCCGACCTGCAGCTCATCGGCAGGCTCTCTTGGCCGTTGTTCGAGGCGCTGGCCATCGCGGCGCGCTTCTTGTCACGGTCGCGCTGGTAGTAGATTCCCGCGAAGATGAGCATATTGAGGACGAGGAGGACGCAGCCGACGCCGACGGTGATGGCCAGGGCCGTAGTCGTGCTGTAGTAGTGCCGTGAGGCTAATCGCTGTAGCTGTTCCGCGTCGTCCTTGCTTTTGTCGAGGATGCTCGGCGTGCTAGCCGCGGCCAGGATCGTATTCTCGTCGCTCGACGCCGTGCACGTGGTCGTCGACGTGGTGCTCATGCGCGTGGTGCTTGGCAATGGAATCGGCATGTACGACTCGTCCCGAACTGCGCCTGTATAAGCAAAAATAATATACCATTTAGCGAATTTTCATCGATTCTCGTGATTGTGTGGTACGTTTTTCTTCTAATTTTAGTCCCATCTACTGCTTTTATTTGCACATCTATTGATTTTGTGCAATCGCTTGATATTCCTCTCGTTATACTTGTCATATTTGTGGAATGTCGAGCGATAAAACTGTATTTTGTGCATGTAATGAGGATCGGGTGATGGTTACATTATAGACAATAGCTTTGATTTTGAATTTAGCGGGAATGGGATAGGCGATTTGCGATTTGCGAGAAGTATTCTTTTTGATTCATAGCTGTTAATGTATACGAAGGGTATATATTAATTTATGTGAAAAAAAATTGCTTCTTTTTATTTATTAAATCAGAGATTGATAAGTAAGTAATGTCAGGGCATTTGCGAACAATGTATAAAAAATGTTAAAAATTGTCCATGACATTGTTATTTTAGAAGAAAGCGGACGTAGATACTCATACAGTGATATACGGAAGATTTTGCCAGTTTAAAACTAAGTTACCGCGTAGATAATTATGAGTTTATGCATTTTAAGTCCGCAAAGATTTATTATTCGGTTACCTAAGCTTTGCAAATATTCAAAAGTATTGCCGTCGCAGTACATTTCCATACTTACTCTCTCTTACTCTCTCAATTATTTTTAATAACGATTATATAATAACTCTCGTGCATAATTGAATTTTTGCACATTAAACTGAACGAGCAGCGATCCGTCTCGTATTTCCATTGACGAGGAAAAAGTATGAGCACCGATGTGTAACGGGCGATTACGGCGAAGATGCGCCACGAATAAGGAGAAAGATTATCCTAATAATTGGCAAACTACGTTTTATGAATTCAATGTTGATAAGTTTTAATAATGCAAAGATTTTAACTATATTACTACACTATGCATTGGAAATTTCACATTTGTTTCAAATGTAATTTGATCGACATGATAATTTCCAATCATTATGCTTCAATAACTCTGTGCGCTTTTATTCGATTTATTTAAACATTGGATCCCGTAATTTTCACAATATAACCAATTTTCATATAACAAACCATATGTTTTTGTTACGTATGTCGCATTATTTATAACGCTGTTATTATAGAATTGACATTATTGTATTGACTTTATAAAAATCTTTGTTTGGTCCATTTTATATTGTGCAAGTAAAGCATGTATATAACTGACTGATATATAAAAAGATATATTTGCAAGATCTGACATCGTCTCATATCGAGGTCATGGATCGTAAAATCTTTCAAATACGTAGATAGCGCGAATCTATATGATGCAATTATTCGTAATAATAATTCATTATAAAAATGAAATCTAACATCTGTTGTAAAATTGTAAAATTAAGTATTGATTTACACATGAAATTGCAACAAACAATATTTGCTTCTTTCGTAAAATTCGATAAAAAAATTTAATTTTACATGATAAGACCATAAGACATAATCTTTCACTAACCAAATATTATAAATATAAATTTGTGTATGTGTGTGTGTGTGTATATATGTGTGTGTGTGTGTGTGCGCGCGCGTGTGTGTGTGCGCATGTGTGCGCGAGCGTTCGTACAATAGCAAATTACGCGATTGTTAAGATTGAAAAAAAAAAAAAAAAAAAAAAAAAAAAAAGAAAGGATTATAAATAATACAAGTTGATATATTTTTAGATCATCATAGATTTATCTAAAGATGAGCAAATAATATTTATTAAAGATTTTTTAAATTTAATTCAAATCCAACTATTTATAATAAGATATTTTAATATATTATTGAAATGAAATTTTAAATAAATTATATTTCAATTACTTCTATTGACTTCATTGAAAGTGTTGTAAGTCTAATTTTTGTATACGCATAAACTTGGTTTTATTCCATATGAAATTGGGTTTTATTACCTATAAAATACAATTTTATCACGTATGAAACATGATTTTATCGTAGATTTTTCTATGTAAAAACTTTATTATTTGCTTCATCGGTGTACGCTATTATTATATTTAGACATTATTAGAACACATTTTAACATTTTCTTGTCTAATATTTAATTTTAATGTTTAACTAATTTCTATTTTCCTTTTATTACCATCAATTATTGGTAAAGCAATTGCTCTGGCGTAATATATGTCGGGGAAAAGATGAAAAATTAATATTTTATAATAAATTAAGCATTTATAAAATTTGATAAGAATGTTAGTTATAAATTAAATTGGGTATTGGGCGGAAATTTTTTAAATTTCAATGAATTGTTTTCCATATTGAAAGACATAATAATCTTAAGTTTATTGTCCGTATACAAATTTCTTATATATAAAAAACTTATAAATATAAAAGAACTAAAATTTATTTTACAATAGTTAGAATATCTTTTCATTGTATTTTATTTCTGGCATTGAATTTCCACTGCTTACGAGTTGAACCGGATTATTTGTTGGATTGCTTCTTACGCCCGAGTGTCGTAGTCATGATTAATTACTTATTACTTACCCGCGTAATAAGTATCGCCTTTTTCTCGAAATTGATGATGTCTCATGGAAACATCATCTCCAGGTTGATGAAGTTGAGGAATGAGATTCAGCCAAACTGCCATTTTGTGTCCTCGGTAGTGATTTTTCATTTTGGGCTTAAGAGCTAAAAGAACTCTTATGTAGTTTCCTTCCATAAAAATTGCATATTAAACGAATATTTTAATTTCACTCCTATGCTATTGAATCTGGAGTAGTATTTCCGCATTACAAATAACGTTATACTCGCCTTTTTTTTTTTTTTTTTTTTTTTTTTTTGATGCTATAATTTAATTATTTATCATATGTATAAAATTATTTAGCTTTATATTCATTAAACACGAAGAAGCTTTTGCAAGTATAACCGTATATGCTAATAAATATGCTCAATAAATATTTCATTATGATTTCACACTAATCTTACATATATCATTAGCGCATTGATTAAAGATAGCCCGATATTATTTCAGGTAATTAAGCGTATTATGCAGAGTATCGAAAGGATTACGAATTGCTAAGAATACTATGAATACCAACAGGATAATAAAATGTTCGCAGTAATTAAAAGATCGCTGCCAAATGTCTTCTACCTTTGAATTTTCCATGAGATAAACACGAATTCTAATGACTTAATCGTTCTTTAAACATTCGCGTCATTTTGATTATTGAAAATTTGCGCAATTATTTGAATGACACATTGTTCAGTATACAATGGCGTCCTTCTCATTATGCAATAGCCAAATTGTCAATCGTACATACGCATACATAACGATTCGTCACTCTCCACGCATATATATATATATATATATATATAATTGTTGATATAAAAATGAATAAAATATTGATGTATTATCGTTCAATGTTAGTCTTACCTATCATGAGGTATTGTTGAGTCCCGGTCTCGTATTTCTCCCAATTGAGGCCGCGATATCGGGTCTTCTCCTTCACGGTGCCGTAATCCACAGATTCGATGTTGTGAGGCTCGTTCGGATTTCCCGTCTTGGCGAAGTTGGTGAAGAATGTGAGCACTGCCTCGGCAACGCCCTGATCCGATCGGGAGTAATTTTGTGGAAAAAATCGACCGCCCGAGATCAGGGGAAGGCCGAATATGTATGGCATTGCCTCGCCACGAACACTTCCGAGTCTCTGTAAACACGCCCAGGTATCTTGTTTAAAAAAGGCAATATTTCTAAAAATGGTTTATATATATATATATATATATATATATATCATAGAGAGAGAGAGAGAGAGAGAGAGAGAGAGAGAGACACGAGTCGAGAAACTCTACAATTTCTGTGGTGGTTAGAAATTTTGCAAGTTATTTATGCTTAAATTAAATTTTCGACGGTTGTACAACGAAGACAAATGTATTTCATCACTGTTTGTTTGTTTTTGCCATAGACTTTAAATTAAATATAATCTTAAATTCGATGCATCACTACGTTTAACAAAGATAATTCGTTACTTTAAGATTTGTCGACAATATTTTAACTCGATGATGTTGACACGGGAAATGATGCTTTTTATCAATTCAGTCGTTTCTTAGTCATTTGCGAGGGCATTTTTTTTTCTTTTCATAGAAACCTTGAGATGTTCGCAGCAGTTATTAGCAGTTTAAATAATGAAAATTTTAAAAGCGACACGTAACAAAGACAATAAACTCGAGTAAATATATCCGTCGAGGAAGCACCACTGGCAATTGAATTTTATTTAAGATTCAAGTTTGTAAAATTAATTTAAAAATCGAAAATTACAATTGGAAAAATCATGCAGTGTATTTAATCATAAGTACAAGATAGCCGAGAAGTTATTATCGTGCCAAGGGGATGATCGACATACATCGAATCGAAGAATTACGCAACAGCGAAGCGTTAGAGTGAGCTTGAAATTGCAAGGAAGAAGACACTTTGACATACGAAATATTTGCGTAATTTTTACGACACAATATTGCGGTCTTGTATTATATACTTAAGAATTTACTTTGAAGTATTTTGTATTTTAAAATTAGCGCCTTCTTATTTACATGGGTGATGGGCGTTACAGATTAATGACGTCACGCTTGCAATATCAACGGCGGTGGTAGCAACACCACTAGCATCAGCATCTCAAATCCCGCTTTAATTAAATTACGAACTTTCAAAAATCCTAGCTGAGTACGCGCGTTTACTTGACGGGTGTCCGACGCGATTTTAATTTTATAAAATTCAAAGCTTGACTTTATATCGTTCTACTCGCCCAAGTTCATCTATCCCACGCAATTCTTCATTATACAAGCAAAGGGTATATATAGGAAAGGGTAGCTAAGCGAGAGAGATAGAGAGAGTGAGTGAGTGAGAGTGAGATATTTGGGGGTGGGGGTGTTAAGAGAAGATGGAACGGAAGAGAAGAAAATAGCGCGTCAACTAACGCCAATGTTTAATCGAATTTGGAGTTTGCTTATTATTGCTTACGAGTGGCAGAGCAACTTTCGGGAGAAGATTTGTGAAAGGACTATTTTTATTTCAATAAGGTTTTGGTATTTGAATCAAGGGGATTTTAACTTCTTGTTTTATAATTTGGATTTGCTAATTTTATTGCAATTACAAGTAAGGCAAGAGCTGCGTAATACGCTTCGAATTAACGAGTTCTCCACTTTTAATTTCGTTATTATTGGCTTCTGTAGTCTGACACATTACAGCTGTACTACTTTATTTTAATTGAAAGTGGAAGGGAATCAGGTTATTAGCTTATAAATTTCGAACATTATTAGATCTTAATGTCTTTTTTAACGACTTTTTCACCTTCCAATTGACAGCTATATTCTTAAATTACATAGTTTAATACATAAAGAGCTTCGCATAATTAAAGATTTTAACTTAAATGGAGTAAATTTAAAACTGCAATATATATATATATATATATATATCAATAATTGTTTTATTTTTATATTATTTAAGAAAAAGTAGATTATTTAACGAGGATAAGGGCAATATTTTGTTATCTACTATTAATTAAATCGAGTGTGGAAATTTATACGTATAGTAAATTTATTTAAATAAACAATAAATATTACATGCTTTTCAAATAATACTATTGTCACGATAAACAAAATGCTATTATTATGAAATTCTGGCTTACCATAGATATTTGATCGTAATTATTATAATTTGGAACAAGCGAAGCTTAAATTGTAAAGATGTTTCACAAGATTATTTAGCTTTTGCTATGCTATGGTATGAAAGATAGAGAATGCGAAAGGATTCGAAATGCGAAGTACAGGAGTAAAAAGTTAAATTTGGAGATTGGAAGACGGAAGTTGGAAAGGTCGGTCAGTCTCAGACGAGTCCCATCGATTTTCAGCCGCGTGCATGAACAAGCACACGCACACGCACGCACGCGCGCGGACCAAAAAAAAACACACACACACACACACACACACACACACACACACAAAAACGCACGCACGCACGCACGCGCACACACAAACGCACGCACACAAACGCACGCGCACACACAAACGCACGCGCACACACACACACACACGCGCGCGCGCGTGAACGGGTATAGAAGTACAAGGTGTAACGCGCATGAAAGGAACTTTGATATACAAAGGATAGGGTCGCGTCTTCGTGGTCGCTCATCATATCCGGCGACACCCTTGGCTGTCTCGTCCGGAAGAGGAAAACTCTTGGGCGTATCCCTTATTTCCTCAACCCCTTGAAGTCGCGTATATACGTTTCTTTTTATCGCATGTGCCTGATAAAGAAATCCTGCTCCTTCGGCAAAAAAAAAAAAAAAAAAAAAAAAAGTCACAGAGGGAATAGAGGGGAAAAAGGATCGAATATATGCTAGACAGCGGGGGATCGAGCTCAGTGATCTTCCTCCACATTTTTTTCACAAATTGAAGGCAAGGAAAATTATGTTATACGATGCTAACAATGAGCTTGCTTTAATCTTTTCGTTAATGCTCCCTATTACGGTTCAATTTTTTTTCTTCCAATTCTACAACAAAGAATCTACTTTTTCATTTAACGAGCAACCACGAGTCAGCGGCTTTTTATATTACAAACATTTATTTATCGCGTTGTTTAATCTTAAAGTTAAATATTGTTATGAATTATTTTGTTTTCTTAGCTTTTCATCCAGAAGAATCGAAACATTCATTATCCTCGCTTATTTATTAATAAACGATCGTTTATAAAAAAAAATGACACACGAAAGGATGTTGAAATTATTAATTATTCAAAAAAAAAAAAAAAAAAAAAAAAAAGGTAAACAAATAGTCAAGACATAGTAGAATCAATAAAGCAATAAATAATATTCAAAGAAAAGATAATGCAAAACGATTTGAGTAATCAATACAATAAAAGTCTAAGGCATTATTGTATATTTGAGTACCATGTCGACAATCGTCATTCTTCTCTCTCTCTCTCTCTCTCTCTCTCTCTCTCTCCATCCATCCATCCATCCATCCACCTACTTATTCAATTTAATCGTCGTACCTGCGGATAATCGCTGTCCTTGGTCTGGTAATTGAAATGAAAGAAGTAAGTGCTAGCGCCCCGTCTGGCGTGGTAAAACGCTATTCGCATGAGGGGTGCGACCGTGTGCCCATCGCTCAGGGCCTCCATCGTCGATTCTCGGATATTGATGGGATGCAGCACGGGCTTGTCCCAGTCCGTGTACTCGTTCCTTACCGCACTGAATATCTCGTTGAGATGATAAACGTAGGCGTTGCGGATGAAGGTCCGGAGCACGCGGTTGCGCTGGTCCTCCTCGAAGCCGTACTGGATGTCGTTGGCGTTGAAGTCGAGGTAGGACTCCGCGGTCGATACGCCGAGGATTAAGGGGACCTTGATGAATGCGTCGCTGAGCCGTTCCATATCCAGGGCAGGATCGGGATTGCTTCCGTCCACCGGTAAACTCGGTCCGATCGACGGCATGAACCTACGCTCAAACGAGTGTGGGTTAACGGTTTTCGGCGACCTTTTTTCCCAGTCCATTGCGAGGCGATGGCACATTACGAACGATCACGATTGGATTGATCGTCGATCTTGCGACTGTCAGTTAGTTAGATCGTTCGTTTAGTGTTAAAGAAATACCCGAGCTAGCTTCGATGTCTTTATCGTTGTAGAATTTTATCGAGGAAAGCTTATCAATATACCGTAGCACGATTTTTCCAAGCAAATGTTTTAATTGCATGCAAGATTTGACAGATAAAATTACGATCGATGAATTACGATTTGTTGAGATCGTTCGTTAAAATATAAGGATTACGTTATGTTATCGAAGAATGTTTTAATCTAAATTATGTCGCAAGTTATTCATATTCGCGTAAATTCGAATACGAATCAATGATAACGAAGCACTTTTTAATTGATGCTGCCATGATTTTTGCGCAATTTCATCAATAAAACTAGGATTTAAGTATAAGCACTAATAAGTTATAGTATTAGTATTTGTATTTTCTACATTTTAAAGATATTACCCACTTAATATAATAGATTAGCCTGTCACAATTGATTATTCATTATATTATTCGCATCGTAATGTCCTAAATAAACTTTATCGTGGTGGAAAAAAGATGCGAGAATTTCTTAATAATAATTAAGTAATAGAAGTTTGTTTTATGCAAAGCGTATTAAATTACGATGTACTATTTCCGAAAAGGAGCAACTTGGCTTCGTTACAACTTTATAATTGTTTTCTCGCGATTTTATAGATCATGTTGGCGATTATTGCTTCTATTGGCTTTGAATTACTTAAAAGTTCTCGTATGCTTGTCTATGCATAAAAAGAATGGACAATGTCTCATTGGGAATTAAATAGAAAAAAAAAAAAATAAATAAATAAAAAAAAAATTATTGTTTACAAAAGTACAAAACAATTTACAAATATAGTATACAAGTTTACAAAACATTAAGGATTATTACACGTAATATCTCAATAATCAGCTTTGTTAATACTCGAACAATTCAAGATCTTTTCCCTCAACGTTATTAATTAATCAAATTACTATTTCTCATTTACTCGAGCATTTAGTAATGATAAACTATCTGATTTTCATGTGGTTGACGATGATGGTATTAAGCATAAAAATTCCATGCAACTTTTACATACGCTCGGGCTGTCTGTTCAATTTAAAAAATTTGCCTCCAATTTATGGTTAATCCCCTATGGTCGCATAAATGTTTAATTCGCTAAAATTTACATTCCAAAGTCATTCGTACAATTCGGATATCCTTGACGTACAATTCCTCGTAAAATCAAATTTCACCGATCCCGTGCACCAGGATTTGCTCGATCTAGTTGAACATGTCAATCAATAAAGTGAAATTAAGAGGTAAAACGCTTGATAAGATTCGAAAGCCCCATCCTGACGTGAGGAAGGGTAATAATCCTCGATTAAGGATTAAGTATTCCAATGTGCATGTAAACGACAGTGTTCCGTGTATTTGTAAGAATAACCGAAGCATCGAACTTTGTTTTGCTTAAGGGTACGAAAAATTTTGCTCGCATACTTGATTTCATTGGGATCAATTCCAAGTATAGCTTCGAGGGAGACTCCCCTCAAGCATTCCGCAATGTCCTCGTCGTCTTCGTAGCGGCAATCGAGTTCTTTAGCGACCTGAACGCGCAAGTCGTTCGGATCGTGAACCGCTGCCCATGGGCTTAATGCCGAGCCACTCAGCAGGACGACATTGTGAAAAAGACCTGAAAGTATTAAAGGACATTTTGAGGCAAATCAATTTACAGGACTATCTTTATTTCAGAATTATGGCTTTAATCGTTTAATCGTACAAACGTCCCATTACAATCATAGAGTTGTATCGAAGAATCGAGGTCATTGGGAAACAGCTTATGGAATACAAGTGCCACTTTACTTCTTTCTTTCTTTCTTTCTTTATACTATTCTTTTCACGCTGTTTTGAGAAAATACGTCGTTTAATATTTATAGACAAGTCATTGACACGCATGAAGATTGTGCATCAAGCGCATGCAATTTCTGCATTCCGTGGTCGCTCGATCCTCACGCACGCACGCGCACGCACACGCACAAACACGCACAAACACGCACACGCACGCACATATTTATATTTATTTTATATAGGCATAGTTAGGTCAGGTTAATAAGCGCGAACATCATTCAGCCATCTCGTCGATAGTTACTCTATATCGTTGGGTATCGAAGCCAGCAACAACAAAAACATCTCCACTCGATGACTCTCAGAATAAATTAGAGTAATAGAATGGATCTATTTGGATTTCCAGGGTTGAAAAATTCTTAATGGTCTTGATGAAAGTGAATATTATGGATTTTATCACGCTCGTTTTACACGAGGTTTTGTAGTAGTAAAAAAGAAGAAATTCACATCCTCGTGCAGAACAAGCATTAACCCATCCATCTCCACTTACACCATCATTTCAACAATCATCCACGTCGGTTATGGAAACTCCACGGTTCAATCCAACGATACGTTATTTTGGATTAACGGTAGGCATTGGGCTCCGAGAGCACCAGAGTGACGACGGCACGTAGATCGGTGCTAGACGACCAACATCGAGAGCCAAGTAACGACGTTATCACGATCGTCTATCGTCATTCATCATGCCATATCGGCGTCCTTTATCCTATAAACAAGAGCGTAAAGACGCGCGACTGTCTCGTCAAGATTTCAACGGCCCTGTCGTCGCTACCTCGGTCCTCCTCCATCTCCCTATATCTCGCTTTGCAGCCCCTTTATCGCGATCATGAAAAGACGAGGCTCTGCTCCCGCGTCTGGCCTCTTGCCAATTACGATTAGGCCATCTCCGTAGTGCCGATTCCAGGGCCAAGTTAGTTGGACAATGGCTGGAGGAAACGTCGGAAGGTAATATTACGATCTGCTTGCTCGATGGCATTGTAATTGTATATACGAGTGGATGGGCTGTTATTTAATTACTTTTTTCGTGAGTTTTAAATGGCCGTAATGGTGGATTGGTGGGGCGGGGAGGAGAGGGGGCAGAGGGTATCGTGTCGCAAGATAGAGTTTTCGAACTTTTTGTGGGCTCGCCGTCGGCATCGATTGCCGATACCGTAACGTCGAGTGAAACATAGTCCACGGTCATTCAGGGGATAATTCGGGGGGGGGGGGTTTGAAACTTTGATAATTGCGCAGCGGTATGTTAAAAAGGGGCGAAACGATGATGATATTATATTTTTGAACTGACGAGCGCTAATGACGAGAGGTGAAAATTTGAGGGGCGGGGAGGTGAGAAGAAGAAAGTAGGGATGAATGGATATAGGACATCGAGTGGCCAATTGATTGGATAAGGATAGGATTTTTATTTTAGCGACTTACTAGCTTAATTCACAAAGCTCATAATAACGATTGATTTAACGAAATGCAATTGGCAAAATGTGCATTAGGTGTTTTGAAAAGCTTCGATATAATGTAAAATAATTGGTGTGAAATGTCGTTTCGTTAATTTTTTGCTTAATTGCAATAATTTGCGAAAGATTTCAAGAATATAATTTCATCGATGAGGTCAATCATGAAATTTTCGAGTAATCTTAAGAGATTTTCATCAATTACTTGATAAATAATTGATTGCTGTACCACCTGGTGCATCGTAGTGTTATTTAAAAGAAAAATTTAAATCACTGGTTAGTACATACATGTAATTGAGTATTTTACCAGCATATCTATAAAATTTGCAAATATTACAAATGACGAAAGAAAGAAAACAAAAAAGTGTTAATAGCAAATAAAGAAAGGAATAAAAAGTTTGTGCCTTCTTCAAACATTTTTACGTTTTTGAAATAGTAATTGTCAAGATATTTCCATTTTATGTAAATTTTTCTCTTTTACCCATCAACCTTTTATGCCGTGTATGCATGGATCTATTATATATTTATTCTGTGTGATCTCGACAATATTATAGTGGATAGAAAATCCAGGTTGACAGCCAAGAAAAGTAATTGATAAAACTATGAAATGAGAGCGTGAAAGTAGAATGGTATGGGCGCGTTTGTGTGAGAGAGGGAGATAGATAAATGAGAGGTGGTGACGAGGGGTGCTGGAGCTTTGAAAAAGGAAATTGTGTAGTTTTAGTTAACGCTTCGCTTTAAGATTAAAAGTAAACAAGAAACAACGATGAGAATGGCGGGAAATACAATGAGAAAAGAATAGCGGGGGAGTGGATCGAGAAAGACTTGTTCGCAGCCTTAGTACACACAGACGCTGGCGTGTATATTTAAACTTTAGCAGTTCTGAGCAATAGGTGTGGAGGACTCGATAGAAAGATTGAGAGAGAGAGAGAGAGAGAGAGAGAGAGAAAGTGAGAGAATCGAAAGAGGAAGAAAGAGAGCGAGCAAGTGCGCGAAAGAGGATGGGGCGAGGGTGGAAGGGGACAAGCGAGAAGTCCATCCTGTGGAACTTCGCAATTTTCCCGGGAGGGATTGAAAGTAAATCAAAGTTTGAAAGGG